CTCTGGCTTATGTACAGGACGGCTGGTGCGAGAACAACCAACAGCTCTGGCACGTCTGAATGGGGACGAGTATGTCGCTGCTGAGCATCCCTCGCGTGTCGCTCTCCACCCACACCCAGGCACTGCCCAAATGCTACCAAGGGTCTCATCCTCCTTGCTTGAGAGGTGTTTCTTCTGTGGGGAAGAGGAGCTGCCCAGCATGGGCAGAACGTGCCTGCAGACACAGCTGCATCTCCCTGTGGTGGAGGACAATGAGAGGACAATGCGCTGGAACAATCAAGAACCATCCTGGGTCTACGGGTGGCTGCTACACAAATCCCCGCTCTGGGCAAGGCACTATGGTCCGTGCACTTTATTTCACTCATGACTCATCCAGATGAGCCACATTTTTAACACCAGGCATTCCAACTACTCTATTTTTACTGGGAAAACACTGACCCTTGAAGTCGGCGAGGCCAAAATCCTGGGTCTTGGCATCCCTGCCTGTTGGGGGGTTCAAACCCTGGCTCCCAATCAGCAGATGTAAACCAGTTCTGTTCTCTAAGACAGCTTGAATCCAGCTGGCACAAAGACAGCAGCTAAACAAGATTTCTCAGAAGATTTTTATACCAGCAGAAGAAAAAACTTGCCCTGCTCTGTGCACAAAGCAGAGCTATGCCCATCAGAAGGACAGATAACATGTGTGTGTGCTGGGACTGAGCTCGCTGCCATCCGATGTGCTTCACGTAAAGTTCTACCTTTCTTTTACCCATTTACAGTGTGCCATGCCCAGCCCGTTTCACAATCTGACACATACAGCTGTGCTGTCCCTCCGGCACAGATCTCCCCCGGGAAGCAGTTTACTTTGGGAAGCTCCCTCCCGCTGGCAGAGCCGATGGGACTGGCAGCCTGTCTGTCTGCAGACTTTGCGGGCACCCAGAGGGGCCCCGGCACCCACACCCAGCGTCGAAGGCGGCTGGCTGCCAGCCGAAGGGGTGCTGGGCTGCTCTGTATTCCTCCTACGCCAAACAATTCAGAGCTGTTGGATCTGCTGGGCAGACCAGCCCATTGCTCCACTAAATGGGCTTTTCATCTGACATTGTTTTCAAGCCCGAGTTCCCTTGCAGTGAGTCACCCAGGCAGCCCCGTACGGTCGTGTACACAGCGCCCGGTTGCTACAACACATGTAAACACTTCCCCTGTCATATAAAAGGCCAATGAGACACAAAGCTGAGCTGCATTCCCAGCCTAGCAGAGCTCTTCAAGCATTGCAGAATCACCAGAAAATCTGGGGAACATTCCCAAGGGCTCCCGGATTGCTCTTGAAGAGACTCTTACTGTTAGCATGTAAAAAACAGAGTCCCAGAACTCCCAGCCACTCCGATATCCACTTTGAAGGT